TCCCGAGTCCTTACATCTCAGTCTGAAGGTGGGAGGGGGTGTAGAAAAGAAGGAACTCGGGATGCAGAAGTGTAATATTTTATTTTATTGATTAGACTTTTACCCCGCCCTCCCCGCCAAGGTGGCTCAGGGCGGCTCCCATAAAACTAATGGAGGAGGTGGAGGAGATTGGATTTATGCCCCGCCCTTCACTTGGAGTCTCAGAGCGGCTTACAAACTCCTTTCCCTTCCCCTCCCCACAACAGACACCCTGTGAGGTGCGTGGGGCTGAGAGAACTCTGACACAAAACTGCTCTTTTTCAAGGACAGCTGTGCCAGAGCTTGCGACTGACCCAAGGTCACATCAGCAGGTGCAAGTGGAGGAGTGGGGAATCAAACCCGGTTCTCCCAGATTAGAGTCCGCGCACTTAACCGCTACACCAAACAATATACATCATATAAAATTACAGATACATCAATTAAAATCGGTGGCACTACGAATGCAGATTTCCTGCTCCTAAGCATTTCTCCTGTGCATTAATCTAGCTGATCACAGTGTACCACTGCATCCTGAGTCCCTTCTTTGCAACACTCCACCCACCTTCTGAATTGGATATAAGGACTCTGAGATCTACATTCTGACTTGCATCTGACACACGGAGCTTTGAGTCTCAACTTTTGGTGTAGTGGTTAAGTGCGTAGACTCTAATCTGGGAGAACTGGGTTTGATTCCCTGCTCCTCCACTTGCAGGTGCTGGATTACCTTGGGCAAGCCACAGTTCTGTCAGAGCTGTCCATAAAAGGGCAGTTCTTTCCAAGCTCTCTCAGCCCCACCTACCTCACAGGGTGTCTGTTGTGGGGAGGGGAAGGGAAAGGAGTCTGTAAGCCGCTCTGAGACTCAGAGTGAAGGGCGGGGTATAAATCCAATCTCTTGCTGTAGATTTTCCGGGGTGTGTGGCTGTGGTCTTGGCATTGTAGAACCTGACGTTTTGCCAGTAACTGTGACTGGCATCCTCAGAGGTATAAACACAGAAAGATGGAATACTCTCTGTGTCAAGGTGAGAAGAAAATGGTAGGCAGTAAATGTATATCTACTCCAGAAGGTGGGTAGGGCTGAGTCATTGTCTTGTAGGAGTTCTTGTCTTGTAGGCCACACATCCTGGAAAATCTACAGCAACTAATGAACTCCGGCCGTGAAAACCTTCAACAACATACCAATCTCTTCTTCTTCTTCTTCTTACACCCTGAATCTCTCAGTTGGTCTCCAAGATGCTCCTGGACTCCAATCTAGCTCTTTGACTGTAGACTCACGTGGCTTCCCTCTAAAATTATCTTGCACATCTGTGTGCCCTGAGATCTCTCGATTAGTGGGTTTCCTAGCTGGTGTCCTTCAGTTAATGGATGGCTGATACTCTGAAGCAAGATTGATTATTTCTCCGAGATACGTTTTGCTTGTGTCTTTGAAAGGAGCTCCAGTTTCTTTCCGTTACCCTGGGGCCTTTTCACATCTCACTAGTTTTTAGCGTGCAGCAGGGAGACCAAGGGCCCTATGAGGAAAGGCTGAGGGGCTTGGGAATGTTTAGTCTGGAGAAGAGGAGGTGGAGGGGGGGGATGACAGGATTGCTTTCTTGAAGTATCTGAAAGGCTATGAGAGGAGGGCGGGAGCTTTTCCTGTTGGCAGCAGAGGAGAGGACTCGCAAGAATGGGTTGAAGTTAAGGGCGGGAAGGTCCCGGCTGGAGGGGCAGCTCACCATCTCCCCAGGCAGCCGATTCCACTGTTTGCAAAACTCTGACTGTGAAAAGGGTTTTCCTAATATCCACCGGTCGCAAAGAGTCGGACTTGACTGTGCGACTGAACAAAAACACCAACACCTTAATTTAAACCCATTCTTTCGAGTTCTCTCCTCTGCTGCCCACAGGAACAGCTCCCTGCCCTCCTCTAAGTGACAGCCCTTCAAATACTTCAAGAGAGCCATCCTGTCCCCCCTCAGCCTCCTCGCGAGCCAGTTTGGTGTTGTGGTTAAGTGTGCAGACTCTAATCTGGAATTACTGGGTTTGATTCCCCACTCCTCCACTTGCAGCTGCTGGATGACCTTGGGCAAGCCGTAGTTCTGTCGGAGCTGTTCTCTCAAGAGCAGTCCTGGAAAGAGCTCTCTCAGCCCCACCTACCTCACAGGCAGTGTTCCCTCTAAGCTGAGTTAGTGTGAGCTAGCTCACAGTTTTTTAGCCACAGTGTTGTCTTAGCCCAGGAAGGGATGGCTCCAGAGCAAACTAATTTATGCAGCAGCCAAATCACTCGCTCACAACTTTAATGCCAGTAGCTCACGGAGTAGGATTTTGGCTCACAAGACTCCACAGCTTAGAGGGAGCATTGCTCACAGGGTGTCTGTTGTAGGGAGGGGGAGGGAAAGGAGTTTGTAAGCCGCTCTGAGACTCCTATGGGTAGTGAATTTATTTTTTTTATTTATTTTTAACATTTTTACCCCGTCCTCCCTGCGAGCGGGCTCAGGGCGGCTTACAAGAGGGCACAAGCCCATACATAAAAACAGGATAAAACAGTAAAACCATTATCAAGGGCGGGGTATAAATCCAACAACAACAAATTTATTCACAGCAAAAAGCCAGCACTCTAATACAACAAACTAACTCAAACTAGATTCATACAACCACAGGCATAAATGAAATATATAAAATGAATATCAAATAGAGCATGCATATAAAACCTGTTAAGTCCTGTAACAAATTAGAAGAAGAAGAAGAAGAGACTGGATTTATACCCTGCCCTTCACTACCCAAAGGTGTCTCAGAGCGGCTTACAAACTCCTTTCCCTTCCCCTCCCCACAACAGACATCCTGTGAGGTGGGTGGGCTGAGAGAGCTCTTTCAAGAACTGCTCTTTTTCAAGGACAGCTGTGCCAAAGCTTGTGACTGACCCAAGGTCACGTCAGCAGGTGCAGGTGGAGGAGTGGGGACTCAAACCCGGTTCTCCCAGATTAGAATCCGCACACTTAACCACTACACCAAACAGGTTACATCTGTTCGTCTTTCACTAGGAGCTTTCTAGTCCTTACAGCTAACCAGCCAAATTTGGCAAGTTTAGCTGTAACCTTGGGGCACCTACTTTCTGGGAGGTTCTTCAGCAATTGCATCTTTTGACTAGTTGAGTAGTTGTAGAGAGTGGGAGAATATCACGAAAGTGGCTGTATGCCCTGCAGTCCTATATAACAGGCATTAAGGTTTCAATTCCGTCATTGCAGCAGCGACATGTACGATCAGCATATCTTCTTGTCCAGACTAAACATTCCCAAGTTCCTCAGCCTTTCCTCTTAGGGATTTCATCTCTCTTCACTGTCCAACTTTCACACTCAAATGTAGGAATGGGGAATAACGCAGTATGAACTATCTTGATCTTTGACCAAGTGTAACTGGACAATACTGACCTTGATGGGCCCAGGGTCTGATTCAGTAGAAGGCCATCTTTGCGTGTGTTCATGGCAGTTGCCAGCTGTCCCGGCCCAGCTGAAGTTCCCCGCCGCCCTGACTGATCCCCACAATCGGTGCCGTTTCTCAAACCCTGCTGCGAATTCCCTCCTTCCAGATTGCCTTGGCCAGCTTCTACGAAGACGGTGGCGACGAGGACATCATTACTCTCCCGCAGCCGGCGCCCAGCTCCGTGACCAGGGGCACCGCGCCCAGGTGAGTCACACCTGGCTCGCCTTCGGAGAGACCCGCGTTTCGGGCCAAGACGAGGCTGCCGTTGGAACGGCAGCTTGTATGACTTAACATCAAATAAGGGTCCAAATATTTCTCAGACATACAATAATTTTATTTATTTATTTATTTGTTTATAATTCGATTTATATCCCGCCCTCCCCTAAGGCCCAGGGCGGCTAACAATTGGGGTAAAAGCCATAATTAAAACAATTAAAACCAGATAAAAACATAACAATAGGACAACAAAGTGCCGGTGCTCTGATGTTCCCAGTTCCAAGATGGGTTCCGGTAGGGTGGATCTGGATTATTCAATGAGTTTTCGATCCAAACTTTTTGGC